TACTTAACACAGTTAAGATGATTCAATAAATCTCCCCCAAGCAGCCTAATCTGAAACGCTAACAATGTTTATAAGTGCATCCTGGTCACGCATCGATCGGGACGCACACAAGCGCACAGACGCAAATCTGCGTCGCGACTGAGCAAATAAAACAAAATACATCCCCCCTCCCCCTAGTCTAGTCACTAGACAACAAAGGGTGCGCATGCAAAGTTAACCTTTTAACTATCCACTGCAAATTCACCCTTGCTCATATGTAGTAAGGTCGATAACAACTGCAAAATGTTGATGTGCAGGAAGCGATGTGTTAACAGAAGTTTAGACTTAATAGCATTTACAGATTTTACGGTAGAAATGTCTGAAGTAGTTTATAGTTAATTAAAAATTACTATTTAATATGCAACTATTACACATTTTGAATTAAACGTGTATGCTGCCTCGTTGGCCGAGTGGTCACAAGTACGACTGCCGGGCAATAGGCTCACCCCCTATTACATGGGACTCATAATATAAATAGTAAAAAGTGGGTACATTGTACAATGGCATTAAGTGCTGTAATGTACACCTCTGCCTACCCTTTCGGGGATCAAAGGCGTGATGTTATGTTATGTTAAATGTGTATTTTGAGCTTCTTATTTTCAAGGCCTGGTGATAGACAGAAGCGCGACCTTGAAGCCTCAAAAGTGATATTAATGATAAAAGTACGAAATCAAGGTGATTATTGCATCCCATTGGACCACAAAGAGTACTATACGTTTAGGTATCTACCTACATTCAGCTCCAAAGTATTGACCATCGAATTTAGGCGGTCGCCATTCCAATCTAAAAGCAGTTGGTACACTACTACTAAACACATGTAAATTTCAATTATTTCGCTAAAGCCAACTGCTAAAGTGTACCATGGTGCACCTGGAGACAATTTATTTATTCAAAACTACTTTGTATGTATATGCCCACTAGGTTCTAGCTTCGATCTACATATCGCTAAGTATCTTTTTTTTTTTTAAGGGGGGAAAATCATCGAATGACTGCTCCCGCCTGGGTGAGGCGGGAGGGAGTGTCAGACTCTTACTGACTAAAATCTTCCCTGTTCCTTCTCCTGCACGTCGAGCCGGAGCCCCGGTTACCCGTTAGGTTCTCCGCGACATCGCTAAGTATCTATGGTGGTTAAATTGAATCTGATGGGGCATTAAAGTGTTTATTAAGATAATAAGATGACAAGCTGTGCTCTTATAATTTAGCCTACTGCTATATCGGTCGAGTGATAGCAAAAGTGACTGCTGAGGTCTTGGTTTCGAATGCTGGGCAAGGCACCTTTTGTTGGAAGTTTTCGAATCTTCGAGAATCACTCTTAAGGTAACAGATAAAAGGATGGATATAACGTTATACATTACAAGTCTGCCTGCCCGTTGGGGAATCAGAAGACGTAGCGTTATAATTTTGTAATGAAGAATCTTTTTTTTTTGAAGGGTATAATCACCCTATGTCTTCTGCTGCCTGGGTCAGGCGAGAGGGAGTGTCAGACTCTTAATGACTAAAAACCACCCCGTGCCTACTCCTCCACATTGAGCTTAAGCCCAGGTAATCCGTTATGTCCTCCGCGGTTCCGTATCAACCTTATTGGGCCCATCTGTGGTGGTCTGAAGGCTCTTTGAAGCGCGTGCGGAACGCATCGCAGAAGGAGGAGATGCCATCCTAGTCCCCCTCGCTCCATGACGGAGCGAGTCTGAACCAGAGCCGGATGCGAGAGGTCACCATCGCCGATCACATCCCTGGGGACACAGCGGTGCTCAGCCCACGCAGGGCACACCGCCACCGTATGCTCCACCATGTCCTCCGGGCGGGTTGTGAAGACCCTAAACCTTAAATGTCGCAGAAGTGAGCCATAATCTTGATATCAATATTTATGCAAAACGTTCTGTAGTTTGCTAAGAGTTATTGCTGTGGACTTTGCTTAATGAAAACCTTACGACGGTCAGGTTGCACTCCAGAAAATTGCACTAATTAAACAAGATAAATAGAGAAGAACTTCATTCGTTAGAAACTGGTCGACCGGCAGAATGAAATATTAACTTTTTCTTTAGGAATTGTAAAATCTTTCATTACAAATGGCGGATTGAACAGGTCCGCATCTCAATTGAAATAATAAATGCTTGAGGTTCAGTAATATTACCTAAGTGTTATCTTTTGATTTTCTCACCAACAGCCTATAAGTGCCCACTACTGAGCAAAGCCTCATCTCATAATATAGAGAAAGTTTGAGCATTAATCACCACGCTTACTCAATGTGGGTTGGCGATTTTAAACTTATAATTAGAAATTATAAGCCCAGGTTTAATCACGATGTTTTCCTTCATTGTTTGTCAGTGGTGTCTAAATAATCTGAGAAAGGACATAATTATAACTCGGAAAAATTCACATTGGTACTTGCCGTTGGCAGGTTTCGAACTTGCAACCTCATGCATGAAAAGCGGGCATCTTAAACTTTCGGGTCACCACGATGTTTGATTTTCTAGATAAAGATTTCTAGAACGTTAGAAGTTGCTTTTAATTCTTCACGTATGCTCGTTGAGTACCGTCATTATAGACACAATTATAGAACAATAGGTTGCGGTCACGGGTGACTGCTCGGTGTTTGACAGTTTAACAGGAAACTTATAAACATATTTTACTAATTAGAGTTTTTAATGTTCCCACTGCATCAGTTGATACTTATTGAAGACCCAATTAATACTATCTTCATCAGTAATTTAAGATTTCTGAAAATAACACTCATTTAATAAAACCAGACCGACTTTTTAACGTTTAAAAATTTTCAACACCCATAAAATTCCACCCCAAATGCGTCCCTTCAATCTCTCGACTTCCTCTACGGTGTATCTTTTCTCAAGTTTGTAATTAAAAATCTTGAAAGTCAATTAAACTTGGGAACATTCTGGGCCCCTCGGTTCGTCTTTGGATTGAAATCGTAATGAATCGTGGCAAATCAAAACTTCAATATTTTAAAGATAGAATTGTCTGAGTGTTGATCTTGTCTAGTACTTTTCAAATGGCAATGACCCTCGTAATCCTGGGTGCTTACTCTTGAAACCAATCCCAATTCCAATGCAATTGCAATCCAATGAAAACTCGATAATGATTCAATGTCAAAACTTTACAACCCCTATTGTAGCTGTTAAAATAGCATTCAGAGTACGGAACATACAACCTCAATACCAAAACTCAATACCATTTAGTTCATTAAATACCCACGCAATACGGATGCAATGGGCGCTAGTGTCGAAACTCAAGAGTACATACCTACGAAATTTCACATTATCAATGTCGATCGATCGGAATTCGATTCAAGAGTAAGCCCACTGATATGCTTATTGAAATTGGATATTTAGTTTACTGTTTGTCAAGACTTTTTTATACCATACCTACTTTAGGGGAGATTTCCACCACAGTTTGGCATTGTACATCCGAAATTAAACATGATATCGTTTTGTATCATCATTAACTTTGTCGGTACGATCGATAGAATTGTAAAATAATAAACCACAAAAACGCCAATAGAGTCTTGAGGTTTCTTGCTAATTTTAGCGCAAGTTCGGTTGCAAATAAGTAACAAAATAACAGTAAAATCACCAAAACAAGAACTGACAAACTTCAATTACTAGTGAGTTTTATTAACTTTAATTATAACTAGCGACCCAGGAATATGCATGTATTATACATATAAACCTTCCTTAAGAATAACTTTATCTATTAAAAAAACCGCATCAAAATCCGTTCCGTAGTTTTAAAGATCTAAGCATACATATGGACATACAGACGGTGGATAGCGACTTTGTTTTATACTATGTAGTGATAGTGATTTGTAATTACTTGAAGCAGTGGTTTTTATCTAATTTTCCTTTGTCATAGATCGCGTTTATGATCATATTGCTCTTTAATGAGTAGACCACATCATATTTATACCACCATATAGCCACTTGCTGGTGATGATGAATTTACCATCTAATGATCAAAAAACTTTCACGAGATCTGTCCATAGATATTTTGTCATATTATAAGTAGGTACCTATATCAATTGCCATAATCAGACCGGCGCAGTGTAGGTAGAGTTACAAAAAATTCGGTCAGATAGTTAAATTTAAAAGCAACCATTAATGTATTTAGCAATATACATATTTACCAAATTGAATTTCAATAACAACATACATTTTTAATAATTTTCAATCAACTAAAATAAACCACAAAACAAAAACCAAAGTCCATTTCACAATTTCGAATTTATCTCACATCGATCGCCATTTTCCGTCTTCCTTAGGCACAATAAAAAACCCTAATATGTTACACATAAAGAGATGAACTGATGAACTTTGCGCGATTAGTAATGGCAGCCTCCACTCTTAGATTCCCTGTGATTAGTCTTTTGTATTGCTCCTCCGGAACCATCGCTGAAGGACGAGTGACTTTCAAAACTTTTGGCCCAGGATATTTAGTCACCCAAAAAGGAATCCCAATACTGGTAGGCGTAGTCCTAAAAACCACGTTACAAGACTGTGCAAGATGACCACCCCAAGCAAGATGGTTCATTGTTGTTGCTTTCAACTTCTTTCAATGATAAGAGTAAAAAATATAGGTATTTTTAAAAATGTACTTTAATTCTGATTGACTTCTCACCAAATAGAAAATAATATGTATTTTATACTAAAATAAGTATGAATAATTGACATCTCATTTAAATTTATAAAGACAATAAATTAATCCAGCCTGTAATTAATGAACTGTGAGTAAAAAGTTCTCACACTAAAAAATTTTGATCGCCAAGCTTGATCCAGACGAATTTGTAAATTGGAAATTGTAGATTTCAGATTATTAAACAACCCTTTTGTTAACAAGACAAATACATACATATCTAGTAATTTATTTAATAATCTCGTTTTTTTTTGTATCAATATGCATTATGGTATAAATCTTGACGTTTGATTTTATTACAGTGGCAACTAAACCTCAAAAATGGCCGTCAAACCTCAAAAACGTTATCGTTGTCAACTTGTCAATGCGTTGATCTAGTACTGTAACTTTTAAGGAATAGTTTTATAGGTATTGTTAATAAATTAGTAGTATTTAGTTATAATTATTAAAAAATAAAAGTGAAAAATGTCCTTTTCATTCGGCACTCCATCGAGTGCTCCTGCAACAACTGGACTCACAGGAGGCTTCAATTTTGGCGCTAACAAGTGAGTAACCGAAATAGTTAAAACTTTTTATAATAAATTTGATTTAAGAACTCTTTTCTATAGATACAGATTCTTGTTTACCACCAAAATTATTACATTTATCTATGTTTACTAAAATTTAAAAAGTTGTAAATTGTCATTGTAAATTATCATTCATAACCTATATTTAGGTGGAAAACATTTTGCTAATGAATGTACTTGTGACAGTTTTTCATTATTAACACAATAACGGTGTGTCCAGGCCTGCGACTCCTGCGTTTGGTTTGACGGCAACGTCACAGCCGTCGGGTCTGTTTGGAAATACGTCGTCGACTGAAACTCCGGCGTTTGGAAGTGCTGCACCTGCCTTTGGTGCTACATCCACTGCGCCAGCGTTTGGGGCAACCACAACGCCAGCGTTTGGGGCGACTACAACTCCAGCATTCGGATCTACAGCGCCCCCGGCGTTTGGGTCGACCACTACGCCTGCATTCGGGGCTGCTGCACCAGCATTCGGTTCTACAACTCCAGCATTTGGTGCTACGTCAGCAGCACCTGCTTTTGGTACAACTACTCCAGCGTTCGGTGCTACATCTGCTGCACCGGCTTTTGGTAAGTAATTGTATAAAAGATAACTTTATAATAATTTTAAAATTTATACTAAGTAATTAAACATTAAATTTTATACAAAAAACTTAGTATCATTCTACATTTTTGTTACATATTCTAGTCTATTCTATTTCTGTGAGAATCATTAACAAAGGAACTTATCAATAATGAGCAGCAATTTATTGCATAAAATAAATTGATATAATAACTATGATAAGGTTGTATGACTGTAACAATAAAGGTTGCACATCAATTATGAAATATGGTGTAGGTACCACTGTTTTTATTTTCATAGATTTATTTTTAAGAGACAAAAGCTATTATAAGCATAATTAGGTGCTATTATAATATATTTGTTTACTAGCGTCTGTCTGCAGGATATCTCATATTCCCGTGCAGTAACAACTATTCAATGTGCTATTCCAGCCCAAATTTCTTACTGAGCCTTTAGCCGTTTTGGTATGATTGAGTTACAAACACACATAAATTCATAAAATAGTGGATGAGAAATAAATGTCCTAATTAAACTGTAAACAACTATTTTAAAAGAAGAATAAATTACGATGGGACCTAAACAATATTAGGTAGTAATAAAATTAACTTCCTTTTTTTATTGCTTTCGGCTATGAATTGAAGTTAACAGAGTTACTTCCATATTCATAGTATTACTTAGTAATGTATTGTCTACTACAATGGGGATAATAACAATAATATAAATTCCAGGAGCCACAACTACACCTGCATTTGGAGCTAGTGCAGCCCCCTCATTTGGTACTACTACTCCAGCATTTGGTAGCACTGGGTTAGGCACTGGTGGCCTCAATTTTGGTGCCGGTTCCAATACTGCCACTACTAGTTCAGGTAATATTGAATTGACATTTTTGTTTTGTATTAACCTGCATTGCATAACACACGCTTTTTATACACTTCTAAAAGGCTAACTGCGATACTCAGAGGCATTTAATGATTACTTAAACTATTCCTTAGTAAGAAACTAAGGATTTGGTTCCGAAAACAATTACTAAGGACTGGATTAAGTGAGCATTAAATTACTGAGTATGGCGACAAGTTTTGTGACCTAAAGTAAAAGTCTTACATAAAGCTAAGAATACACTAGGGGACAATGTCCCAATACATGTATCGGCGACATGTCGAGCGAAGCCTACCGATTTTGCTTGACATATACGTTGATAACGGCGACTTATTATGTCCACACGACGTTGTTGTTGCCAGATATGTCGCTCAAAATCCAGCAACGTCGCGCTGCTTCACCCAACGTCGCCGGCGACACGTGTCACAGGACATTTGTTCCCTAGTGTGACTAGAAGTTAAGCCTAGAACAATACACTATTTAATTTAAATGTGTGACACACAGATAATGAAATGCCAGTAGAAATAGTTTGCATCCCATGTTAAAAATTTAATTTTGCAGGTCTGTCATTTGGCACTCCTGCAACTTCTGCTAGCACGGGCCTAGGAGGGCTTGGAAACTTTGGTTTTGGCAGCACCACCTCAACTCAAAGCGTTGGGTTTGGCTTTGGATCTACAAGTACAGCTACAACCACAACAAGTTTATTAGGTATGTTGATGAAATAATTTCTTTTATCATTATAAGTATGATTCAAGTACATTCTAAAATTGTGTTTAGCTACTTAGGGATGAACAGTACCATACCATACCCGAGCGTATAGGCAAATTTTTGGATCCTCTCTGACTCCCCTTTCCAATTTCGTTGTTTAGCAGATAGGCTCACTTTTCCCTAGTTGTGTTTCCATGTGAGAAGAGGCCTTTGGTCAGCAGTGGCTACTTATAGGCTGTTGATATGATGATGTGTGTTATAAGTGCCAGGTAATAGCAAGCCTCTAATCACCAGTAAATCATCCAACTTCAAGCAGTTATTTTCAAGATATAGCAACTCCAAGAGCTTTGAGATTTGTTTTATGTAACATTAAGTACTAGTACAATAAGTAGCACAGGTTGAAAAATGTTGCAGCAATCAGAAATACAGATAGCAATATCCTCTAAAATTGTTGTGACTACAATCCCCAATGTGGGGGATTATGGCACAACCCTCTCTGAAGACTCTGAGAAGTGAAGAATTAGCAGTAGAAATAATAATAATAATAATAATAAATAATCTTTATTGTACACCAATTTGAGACAGTACATCAAGGAACAAATAAAGAAAATAGGGTACAAAGGCGGCCTTATCGCTAAAAGCGATATCTACCAGGCAACCTTTGGGTGGATAGAATACTAAAGTAGGATATTAAATGAGGTAGTTATAGCTTGGCGTACTCAGTGCTTATTTATATAATGTAAAAGAGTAAACATTAAAAAACAAATTTATTAAATATTTCAAATAAATAATTTAAGATTATACCCATAACCTTCCTTTCCAGTACAATGAACCCAAACCCAAGTTCTCCACTCCATGGTCCTTTCATACCGGTAACACAGACTTTTCAAATGTTGCCACCTACAATGTTTACTAAGCCACGCTTCGAACTGAGCCCCATTCAATGTGAACCTGGTTGTAGCTACAAACTTCTCAGTGCTAAACGCGACTGTTATCCTACTATAACGCCTAGCCCTGGTGAGAATCTATGAACTTGGACATCACACTCTTAATTGTCTGTAGGCTAATTACAGAGGAAAATATTATTATGTAACATTCACTCCCAGTTATGTTTGAACTGAATCCCTATCAAAGGGAGTAGCGACGGCAAAACAAATAAAAGTATAATCGAATCCACTCCCTCATTTGACAAACACCAGAAGATATTTTTAATAGATTTTCAACTTCATTTTGTGTAGTATAAATGTGGTGTAAATGTGTGGTAATAAAAACAGACAGGTAATCTCACTAACCTTTCGGAATTTAGACATATCTTTAGTAACAAATTGTACCAATAGACAAGAGATTGAGACTGATCATTACAAATTTAATTCACATGGCGTTTTGTTCCTTCCCCTTGCCCTCTGTTATCGGAGTACTACATTTAAACATTAACTAAATTCTTGTTGGGTACTCCCAACTCACACTCTGACAACCTGAGATATTTTGGCAAACCCTCTTATGTAGAGGAGACTCAGTCCAGCAGAGGGATATCACTTGCTATGGGTCTTTGTTCAGCAGTTGACATTTTCAGGCTGATGATAACAATGGTTAATAACATTGATCATAAACTAATTCTCTTTGTTATTGAAGATTTTGTAATGTTTCAGGTTCTAAATTGGGTACAACTAGTGTGACTGGCACACAGCCATCTATTTCAGGTATATATACTTCTCATATCCCTGTCCACATATCTAGTTACTATCAATTAGTTATATAAAATTTAGAAATTAGGAACGTATTTTGATGTAATTTTCACCACAGAATTGATTTTTTCTATGGGAAACGCTGGTAAACTAGTTGACGAATCACATGATGGTAAGCAATCGGCATCGCCCATGGACACCCAGAACACCAGAGGCGTTACAAGTGTGTTACTAGCCTTTTGGAATTAATAATTTGAGGATTTTTGCGGACTCAAGTAAGGGGGAGGGGTAATCGGGGCTCCGGTAACCTCACTCACGCGACGAAATACAACGCAAGCGTTGCTTCACGTCGGTCTTTTGTGAGGCCGTGGTATCACTGCGGTCGAGCCGGCCCATTCGTGCCGAAGCATGACTCTCGCACACTTAAAGAATCAATTGATATAAATAGAATAGTACAAGGACGATTTAAGTACACAGTTTGTAGTGAAAAACTAATTCATTAATAATATACTGCCTTACGCATGAAAGATGATGTAGGAATTTATTCAGTACTTAACATTCACTTTTATACTTTAATAATGTGATCTTTTTTATTTATTAGCAGGACCAAGTTTCGGGCTGGGCGGTGTTGCCACTAGCAGTAGTGGCATTGGTGCTGCAAATACAACGACAGATTCTAAAAGTGAGTTTTTTGTGATGCACAATTTATCATCTCCAACCTCTCTCTCCAAGAAGGTAGATGTTGCCCATATCTCTAACACATACCAAGTACATGAACAATTCGTTCAATAAAGGCGTTCAGGATTCTGTTGCTGCTGTTTATTTTTATACCAATGAGGCTATGTCCCTCATCTAACCACCTTTCTCCTCCACTCTTTTGCTAACCCTAGAGTTGTCACTCCAACCACTGCCATCAAAAGAAATCATATTTTCCCTAATAATCTTGATTGAAATGTCATAAACGATATATTATGTTAATCACAAATCTTTATACTTGTTACAGGTGAACCACCAAAGCAGAATAAATTGCCAAATGAAATCTCGACCACAGTGGAGTCGTTCAAAGAGTTTGTTAAGAAACAGAAGTCACTTAGCTCTGAAGTTATGAGGGTGTCTGTCAAACCATTGCATAAGGTAAGAAATTCTTAGTTATTGCAGAAATTTGAATAATGAATATATTCAGAAATAGAATATGATTCTTGTATTATCCCATGGGAGTGTTTAATCGGAAAAAAAGTATTGAATGACCTAAGTCAGCCCATATCCTGTATGTATACTAAATTTGATCAAAATCCGTTCAGTAGTTTCAGCGTGATTGACGGGCAAAGATCAAGACAAATAAAATTTCATATTTATAATATTAGTGTGATGAATGAAGGAGCTAGTACATTTGATTCTCCTTTTTAATGCTACTATAGAGAAGGAACAGGGTATAATGTCCCCAAAGATTGTAAAAGGGACCATGCTAAGACCAGGCGCGGTGGGTGTGCCTGGCGGGCTACTGCCCAGTTTATTGAATACTTTATCCTTTGCTGTGAAATTATGAAATAAATCTTATCTTAGGTATATATTTATTTTATAAAACTGAAGGGTTTGTTTGTTTGTTTGAACGCCCTAATCTCAGGAACTACTGAACCGATTTAAAAAATATGTTTTGTGTTGAATAGTCCATTTGTCGAGGAAGGCTATAGGCTATAAAACATCACGCTAAGATTAATAGGCACTGAGCAGAGCGGGTGGAATCGCGCGGAAGTAGGTAGGGATGATATAGTTGACCGTGTAGTGTGGTGTAGGTATCCCGCGAGGCGGAGGCGCGGCTGCGCGCGGCCGTGTCGCAGTCGGGCGAGGTGTCGCGCGCGCGCGCCCAGTCGCGCCGTCTGCGGGCCGCCGCCGCCGCCGCGCTGGCCGCCGCCGAGACTGCTGCCAGGGACTATACCGTGCCCGGTATGTATGCTCCACAAACTTGGCATATGCAATATGCATGCACTCGGCATGAGCAAAATAGGGCAGTGAATAACTATTTTATCACAGAATTTTGTTCAAATTATACATGTGTGTTACCGAAAATAACTGATAACAGATAAGACTGTCGACAAAGCGAAAGAGATATGTATTCCATATTATCTGCCTGTCTCCCATGGGGGTCCATGAGAGACAGCTGAGACAGGCGTGAGGTTATGTATGTATGTCACCGTAAACTAATCACAAAATTTCCCAAGACAACTTTAAACTTCCGTAGGATTCTAAAGGCGAGATAAGTTTTACCTATTAGACAGCAACTGTCAACATCAACCAATCAGTGTGTCTGTGTTTTTCAAAGAAGCGTAAAACTAATGCTTCTATTATTATTATTTAGACCGTTTATTAAAGTCTATAACGATAATAACTTTATAATATAATTTTATTTATTTAGTACTAAAATCCTACTCTGTCTTTGATTAAGACACCATTATAATCATATAGTAATTTTCTGCTTTAGGTTCAGAGCTAGAAGGCACGGCTCCACCAGCATATGTGAAGGATTTAATAGCAGAATTGGAACAACAACTGATCACATTCCGCAGACAAATGGACGTGGCTGACAAACAGATGCAGTCATCTCCTAAACTACTCACTGAGCAGGGTAAGTGTCAGGTTAAGGACTCAAGGCGTGATTTTCTACCGCGCCCGCCGCGGTTGCGGGCCCGTAACCTTTGTAGAATACAGAGATGTATGTAAAAAATCAAAGCAATATTCACGGCGCGTTTTACTCCCGCGGCGGTTGCGATTGCTTGCGGCTCCCGGCCGCGCCCTCTGCGGTCGGTTGGCTGCGGTCGCAATGGGAGGCCGGGCTGGAACTCAACTTATTGTTTAACCGCCCGCCCGTCTTGCGATAATCAACCGCCAAGTTTACGGATGATAATCTCAACCGCGGCGAGATCACAGAAAACTGCGGTCTCCTGAGTTTTTTTTTTATAAATTATTTTTAGGCATAATAATATTATAATATGAATGTTTTGCAATGAATGTAGCAAACTCAATTTTGTTTAATCACATTTTTGGTTTCCTTAACACCCCCTTACTAATTATGATTTTTATAATTATTTTCAACTAGCTGTTGCCCGCGACTACGTCCGCGTAAAATATTATTTCAAACTTCATCAAAATCCATTTAGTAGTTTCAGCGTGATTGACGGACAAACATCCAAACAAAGGAACTTACATTTATAACATTAGGTACAGAATTCACACTTTTACATTTTTATTATATATAATACATTATAATGTATTTTCAGAGCTAACTATGGGCATCAGAAGAATGCACGAGTCTCTAGTGGCATTGGCGGGACGACTGCAAGCCGTGCATACTCAAGTAGAAGCACAGAAGGAACAATACCTTAACTTACGGAAATACATACTCAAGGATCCTACTAATGTCTTTGATGAGCCATCACGTAAGTCACCACTTCAATTTCATTTTCATATTAACCACTTAAACCGAGGTATGTAATAAACAGCCAGTCAACGATACTCTAGAATTTGGATAACCTAACTGCGATTAGAGATAATTCGAAAGAGAATTCTGTATTCAGCATTAGATGCATTTCATGTGTTGATTGTGATGATATTATTTGTTTATTTTGGAGTAAAAAGTTGGGTGACATTTTCGTTCAGTGTATAAATATCAGAGATATAAATTATCTCGTTTTTATTTCAAATTTTCAGTAATTGTTTTGCTCATTACAGTATGATTGTATTGACTTTTAGTTTTTGAATGTCTCGTTGACCGAGTGGTCTCGGGTTCGACTCCCGGGTCGGGCAAAGTACTACTGGGCTTTTTAAAATTTGTCAGTGGTAGCACGGAGTCCTGAATTGTGCCTGGAATATGGCAATATGCTCATCCTTAATTACATGGGACTCATAACATAAATAGTGAAAAGTGGGTGTTACATTGTACAGTGGCATTGAGTGCCGTAATGTGCACTTCTGCCTACCACTTCGAGGGTAAAAGGCGTGATGTTAAGTATGTTAATATGTTTTTAGTTTTTAAGGATTTCAAAAACTCGTAATAACACAACAAGTATTAGATTTGATTTAAAACATGCACTTATGCACTTGAAGATATTTAAATCGTGACCTGATTATACAAATGCTTGTTTGCAGCGAGCACAAGTTTGGACCAGATCCTGCGGGATGCGGAGACTAACAGGAAGAAGATGAAGTCTGGCGCGTTGCCTGACATCACGCAGGGCAGTGCTGTGCTCTCAGACCCCAGGGTCGCCTTAGGTAAGACTGAAAATATGAACTTCTAATCCAAATGAATTTTGACGCACACATAGGATCTATGGGGATACAACGACACAGTATTTTTAATGGGAACCCAAGGACTCCACCAAAATGTGGGTCTTCCCTAATTTTTTACTAGGTTATAATATGTCTAATTGTCTACTTTGAGCGAACTTTTTCGACTACCGAGCACACAATGTAACGATTTATTATATTAAAAAAGATAGTCGTTTCAATGACAATATTAGAAAGTAAAGGTTTGTAAAAGGAATTAATACTTATTTCTCTATTATTTCAGTAAATACGTGGTTTTGCCTGGAGTGTTTTCCGCGAGTATTTAAAATTGCCAATTTTGTAGACACTGATTCCGATTATCCATTTTGCAGGTTCTATAATTTATGTACCGATTTTTTTTATAACAATACTTGTCAGCCTTAGAGCACCACAAAGTATTTCAATTAGCATCTAGGAGAAAAATTAATTTCCACACCATATGTCCGCCTTTACGATCGAACTATGTTGAAAGTATAGTTTTATAATTAAATGTTTTTATGACGGTTATTTTCGCAACATTCGCATTTCGCACTATTCGCGAATGTGTATATCAAAAAGTATGCGAATATTCGCATATACAAGTGGGAATTTTCGTGACATCACTAATGGGTAGTAGAATTGAATAATAATATATTATTTTATTTTTATTTTTCAGGTAATCTGCAACATTTGGCTGGTCCAACACCGTTTTCCTACGTCGGAAGTGCAATGTCGCCATTTCCTTCTATTGATGCCAGTGGTAAGTCGTCATATACGATATGTAACAAAAACCCTGTTGTTCCTTTCAGGGGCATATACGTTTATCTAAAAGCACATCATTGATGAAATTATAATAAAAAAAAATTGGCTCGTTGAGGTGTCAAAATATGTATGCCCGGCAGTCGCACTTGCGACCCCTCGGCCAACGAGGCAGTACTATTCTTGATGTTAATTAATAATATTGTGTCCCCAGGTCCCTCGTGGCAGCCCCAGTCCCAGCCGGCTCTGAACACTTCACTGAACACTAGCTTTGGACTCCCGCAAGCAGACACTTCCGCAGGGTTCCAACTGCAGAAGCCACCCGGCAAACGAGGCAAGCAATGATATTGGCGCTAAGCACGATGTTCCGTGCGTCACCACAATGCTCAGACACTGAGCTCATTCAAATGTACTATTTCATAATAATTATCATAAGGTTCCGCGAATGTAAACATTGTACTTCTTTGAAAAAATTAAAAAAATAGTGCTCTTAAGAGAGAATTTATATTAACTACCACAAATTCGAAGCCAAAAATTCTTCAAGCATATTTCAAAGTTGTACGAATGTATGCGGATTTCTAAAAATACACCCTTAAACCCCCTAAAATGTATACATTAAATGCTATTGAAATAAGGTTGAAATTGCTATAAGTTATATATAAAGTTTATAATTGTAATTACGCGATACCGTAGCCTCCAACCGGTTGCATGAATTTGATGGAAGCTAAAGAAGTCTGTAAGGGTCGTATTCGGTGGCCCTTTGTAGTTTCTTTCTACACCTACAAAGATGTGTGACTCGAGCTATATGCTATGCTGAAATGGTCTTGGGTTCGATATCTAGTTAGGCTCGTTAAGTAAAATTCCCAATAAATAATTTACCACAATACACTTCAATGGCTTGCACGGTTGGAGCAGTGGCTAAGTAATCGGCTACTGCGGAATGCTAAGGCTCGATTCCAACATTGTGTGATCTACAAATTGTGGTTTCGAGTCTTAGTTTGACGTGTATGTGAAATTTGTATGTTTTGTACATTGATATTAGATAAAATCGTAGTGTAGGTCGATGTTAAAAGAATAAACAACTTTGAGATTCACAAATCTGGTATGTGTTTATGTAAATAATATAAAAATGTATATTGTAGCCCAGTATATGGCAATAGGCTCACTCGTTCACGTGGCATTAAGTGACGTGATGTGCACTTCTTGCCTACCTTAAAAATACTTAAAAAAAACAATGTCAAATGTAATAATTTTCTGTAGTGAACTCAATGCTAAACCGGGATATGTGGTAGTATTGTATTCTTTAATTATTTTAAGAGCTTTGTGTCTCAAAGACAACATCATCCAGTGCTGTCAAAATCATATTAGCTTATCATCGTCTATATCTAGACTAAACATCAATTTATACAAAATTTTTGCTATCCTATTGCAAATTGGGGAAGCAAGGATGCTTTTACCAAAGCCAATATTGTAGGGTACATTGTAACAAAACACATGCACTCTAACACTTTCATTCCGGACACACTCCATCAGAGCGCCAAGCACGGGTAACTATCGCATTTGTAACGTCATAGTATCGAGCGCGTTCGGCGCTATGATTGGTTGGTTCAATAGAGCCGGCTTATCGGGCTTGTCACTCAGGACATGAAGAACGTTCTCTATCACATTTGCCCGCGACTTCGATCTCACAATCCTGTATTCTCCCGTTCCTGTAGGATTTTCAGGATTTCTTCTGTCTTAAGAACCTTCTCCTAGTAATAACAAATCAACAAAAAATAACTAGTGAAATCGGTCCAGCCGTTCACACGTGATGCCGTGACCATGGGAAAAAGGGATTCATTTTTATATATATAGACTACTTACTACTTATATATTTATTTTATTATCTAAAGTTAAAGAATTTGTTTGTTTGTCTACTTGTTTGAACTTGCTAATCACCGGAACTACTAGTCCAATTTGAATAATTATTTTTGTGTTGGATAGTGCATTTATCGAGGAAGGCTATGGGCTATAAAACATCGCGCTATGACCAATAGCAGACGAGCAGAGCTGGTGTAACCGCGCGAGAGTAATTAGATAATAAAACTTATTTGGTGGAATGTGGAATGTGAAAGCTGGTTAAAATTTTGTTCTGGTTACAATCGATTCGCTTAACCCTACAAATTTTAGATTAGATAGTTCGGTACCAATTTCCTTTTTCTTTGGATCAAAATATTCTTACCATAGACGGAAACATAATTTATCTTCGCCTTTCCGAAGTAGTCGTAGCGAAGTGGGGTGATGTTCATAGGACCACGCCTGTTTGGCAAGCTTAATTGTGCACTGCGTAATTTTTAACCCATTTAAAAAAGATAAATAGGAGGTTTGTAGTATGTATGGTTGTGCGCCATTATATATAGCGATTGGCTGAACCGATTAAAATCGGTTTTCAGATAAGTGTTTGTTACAAGTAGGAGAAGGTTTTGGTACAAATAAAAAGACTTCAAAAAAAGAGAGACCTAGTTTATATAATAACTGGCTTTTACCCGCGGCTTCCTTCGCATCACAAAAGGATAAAAAGTAGCCTATGTGACATAATCGTTATTCCTCGAGAATATCAAATTTTTCCGGGATAAAAAGCACCCTATTATTTAATCCAGACTTCTAACTTTACGTCTGCAAAAATTCAAAGCAATCGGTTTAGTAGTTACGGCGTGAAAGCAGAACAAACAAACAAACTCACTTTCCGATTTATAATATTAGTAAGGATTATCTTCTTATTAGACGGAACCCACTGGGGGCATATTGTTTTAGAATCGGTATAAAAACAATAAATGTCAAACATTTCCGAGTTTTATAAAACTACTGTTCCATTATGAAACATATAAGTTATTTTTGTAATACATGTAATGTTTTGTTTGTTAAAACAAAAGTTAAGAAGTACTGTAATAAAATTATTTTACATGAATTATGTCGTATTTTTTTGTGTACTTACCCAAAAACCAAAATTATGAATATATCCTATATTCGGTTTAGGTGTAATCTTAGTCTAGTCTGCATTAAAAACTTGCATAGAGTATTGTAGTCTACTCGGTCCTCTCTTTCAACTCAATTTTTGTAGTTTGTGTTACTTCAGTTATAGTTTTTGCAAACAAAAACAATATTTTCAGCTGATAGGTTCTGTGTTGAATTTTAAGGTCTTGTTTACAATTGTTAATTACTCTTGAAACTACTGATACTGTAAATAAATATTGTTTTATTGTGTGGACACAATCCTATACCGTTATTATGTTCCAGCTTTTTATGTCGTTGGTTCTGATTCTGTCGTTGAGTTTGATTCTGTCGTTGAGTTAGATTCTGTCGTTGATTCTGATTTTGATTCTGTCGTTGATTCTGATTCTGATTCTGTCGTTGATTCTCCTTCTCCTTCTGGTGATGTTTCTCCTTCTGGTTGTGGTGTTGGTTCACCTGGTGCTGATGATGATGCTTGTGAAGCAGGCTTCGCGGTCGTAGTAGTTGATTTCATAGGTTTCCATGGACTACAAAGAAAATTGTATATAATTGAATTTTTTACCGTCTGATATGATTAACTCTCCATTGGTCGAGTCAATGATGAGTGACTATAGGTTTCAGGTACTGTGACAGCTATTTGTTTTTTTAACAGTGCAGGATGTAGGGTAATGGTCCATTACCAGATATCAGTAGATCTAATATCAATGGACCTACTGATTACCTACTTATAAAATTAATTGCATGGTATTGTTCACTCACATGACGGGCGGTTTCGTGGTCGGCATCTGCCTTGCTGCTCGTGCACGAGCTATCAATATTTCTCTGTAAAATATCACTTATATATAAATATTTCCTTTTATTATAGAATTTTTATTGTCATTAAAATTAACCTTAACTTGTAACTGATAAAAAGTTGGTGTTACATTGAGAACATACACCTCCGCCTCTGAGAGTTTCAAGGCGTAAGCAACATACGAATTAACGTAGCTATTATTATTTTTTACATCACTGACTTAACCGTACAAATGTCGAAAAATGTGCGAATATTCGTTAAATCACTAGTACAGATTTACAGTAGTATGTACAGATGTACTGGAAATCTGTAATCACAGTAAATACTTAATAATATCTGTAAAATAATCACCACAGACTTAACAGACACTCCGACAGACCAATCTTTTTGAACTGTGGTGTCCAACCCGACTGTTAAGCTTAAAAGATATTGCAGATATTAATACAACTTTTTGTAGAGAAGCCTACACAACCAACAATGATTTCTCCCGGATTACATACGACACGGCAATGAAAACATCACAAAGCTTTTCAACCTAAGAAGTTGTACGCTGATGCGGGTACTTGGTAAACGAGCCTCGACGGGGTTGGACACCACCACTACTACTTGATCTTCTGGGGGCGGTTCTGGTGCGGGCACAGAGTCCTCTTGACTCGTATACTCAATCTCATAGTAAATGTCGTTGGATTCTGCCTGAAACATACAATTATTTCTTTATTAACTAATTCTCAGAATCTATCTTGTCCACTATTGCAGTATTGATGGGCTTCGACATTGTAACTAAGAGAAAATTAGGTTATAAGTTATAAGTAACTGGGTACATTTTATTATACACTTCTATATATAGGTACTAACGGGGCTGACATGTTCCTAAACGAAAAGTCCCTAAAACCATAGATAATAAAAAAAATATATATATAGGTACCCGTCTGTGTAAAAATAAGCCATTTAAATCCCCTTTTAAGTTTCTCTGTCTATGTGAACATGAACGCTGATTTATGTACGATTTTCTGTTCACCATAATATTAGAGGTATGATTAATGTAAAATGTTTAGATGGTATTATTTACTGTTATTTAATATTAAAGAAAACAAATGTAAAGTTTATTAATTGTAAATACTTACATTCAATCCCGGGAACTTTTTCATGCTTTCCTTCATGGACATCATTATACGTCGTGTGGGTTGGAGCATGCGTCTCAAGGTTCTGAGGGTAGGTTTGGCTGCTTCACTAGACTTCAACATAATCATAAGTCTCATCACTGAGTCAAAATTCCATTCACCTGAATCCACGAATCCAGATGGTCTGGGTAATAGAGTTGCTGCAAGTCCACGAATTATTGAAGTAGGTACCCATTTGAACGATGCAGCGCGATTGTGTAACACCTATTCGATATCGAAGTTCGCAAAAGCGAAAGAGCTTATTTCGAAAACATTTGAATTCAATTCCGTAGGCTCCGTAAACAATTAGTGCGAAGTTATGAGCCTCACTTCGCTTCGATAGTTCGTACTTAGGTAGGTGCTAATCAATACATAGTATAAAACAAAGTCGCTTTCGCTGTATGTCCGTATGTATGCTTAGATCTTTAAAACTACGCAACGGATTTTGATGCGGTTTTTTTTAATAGATAGAGTGATTCTTAAGGAAGGTTTGTATGTATAATACATGCATATTGCACCCGTGCGAAGCCGGGGCGGGTCGCTAGTTATTTATAATACCTTTATAGAATACGGAACCGAATGCAATTTTGTTTACTTGCCTACTTACGAAATAAATTCTTTCGTTCTGCTACAAAAACAATATAATAGCAACTGGAAAAATGTAAAATATACAACCCTAAATTATGTACATACCGTTAAATGGAGTAGATTCGATGGTTGTGCTGGCAGTATTAGGTGTATAGGATTTCACCTTTCTAAGTTCGTTGATGAACCTTTCCTTGTGGTATTGCACTAGACGGTCAAGCCAGCCAGTTTTTGGCGCTGATTGATGGAGACCCAAGGCTATCACCGCCACCAAGACTATCAGGACAGTGGTACATGATCTCTGGACAATAAAATAAAGACATATCATTAGCCCCATAACGTTTACAGCTGAAAAAGAAATCTTGGGTGTCGCAGTTCTGTTACATCAAAAGACGCTGCTAGTCCATCGACGTGAAGTCATAAAATTGTATCTATCAATTAAAAACACAGTAAGATAATGTTTCTGCTTATAGCTCTTTCGATTTAGGTGGTCCGTGTTTAACGTATGCAGTGCACCGTAAAGGTAAGCGTCCATAGGCCCGCGTCACACGCATCGAACCACTTAAATATTAAAAACTGGCACAGTGGCAAGGGGGTGTGTCAGGGTGTCATGTTCTTGAGCGCTACGCTCAATCCTGGAATAAATGGCTGTCACCGCGATTTAGTCTGTTGTCAACCGCGCTCGTACAACTAACGATAAATTGCTGTCTTGTGCAGTGGTTTTGTGCAAAAACAAGCATTTTATAGGTCTGGGCATCAGTTACCACAAATATTTTACAATATCTATCTTAAAAATCACGAAAAACAACAAGCCGTGAAATATATCTGACTTTTATTACTCTACTGTATAAGGTTTGAATAGGTACATTGTTCTTTCACAATCACCTTAGTCGAGGCATTGAGTAACTATACAAGCAATGTAAAACTGACGTAACGAAACGCTCATCAAACCGCGACGTCACATGATGCACCCGCTGGACCACTACTCCGGTCTGCTGTATAAGTGGGACAAAGAGAGAGAGAGAGAGTGATTCATTATCTCGAACAGTCCCGACAGCACAGAGCGATAAATTGTTTTAGTGTGATTAAAATGCTTTGTGGTTGAACGAATGAGTCTTATGTATTTTTTTAAGGGGGGAATATCATACAATGATTTCTTCCGCCCGGTGAGGCGAGAGGGAGTGTCAGACTCTTACTGACTAAAAACCACCCCTCTCTACTCCTGCACCCTCGAGCCGGAGCCCCGGTAACCCGTTAAGTCTTCCGCGGCTCCGTATCGACATCAGCCCTGTTGGGCCCCATCTATGGTGGTCTGCTGATGGCTCCTTAAGCGTCGGAGCTTAAGGTGTCGGATGACAAACGTGCAACAGCGGCACGGCACCAAATTAGAATAACTGCTAGGCTTATATTCTATAACTTCAATTCAAAAGATCGAAGTGAACTCGATCACCGTCCGCCATGTCATTGGTTGTGAGAATAATATCGACCAATGACGGGCGAGAATGTAATCGAGCTCACGCTCACTTCGAAAGTTCGGTTGACAGTTACAGAATAGCCTAGTCCTCGTTACGTTATTTTTCCATTTGATGAATGCATGCATCTTTCAAAATCAATAGGCGGTTTAACGTTGCCGCTTCGTGGACAGTTTTCTGTCAGTTTCGAGGACAGTTTTCTGTTTATGTGATTTTTAAAATTGACATCTTTAAAGGGATTGGGAATGACGAAATCTACTTTTGATCTCTTCACTTCCATAAAATTTTAACAATTTTCAACTGGTAGAAAACTAAAAATTGGTACTTATATGGTCTATGCAGACTATTTGTGACTTACAAAAAATTCGTGAATAATTTTTTTAGATAGATAACTTTTTTAGGAACTGGAGTGCTTAGTAACAACGAGAGTATTTAGGTAGGTATGTGAAAACAAAGAAGAAGCTAACAAAGAGTACTTTTCTTACATACATATTTTTTATGGGATAAGCTGGTATACAAGCAGACGGATCACCTGATGGTGTCGCCCATGGAAACCCAGAACACCAGAGGTGTTACAAGTTACAAGTTACCGGCCTGTTAGGGATTAGGAATTTGAAGATTTGTTGGGGATTCAGGGATTAGGGAGATTGGGGAGGGGGAGGGTACCTAATTGGGCCTACGGTAACCTCATTCAAACGACGAAACACAACGCAAGCGTTGTTTCATGTCTGTTTTCTGTGAGGCCGTGGTATCACTACGATCGACCCGGCCCATTCGTGCCGAAGCACTCCCACACTTAATATGAGATTAACAAATCAGCTTAAAGCATCAGAAGATATATCAAAATAAGGTAAATAAACTATTAAATATATAATTGACACTTACACAATGGAACATGTTATATGTTCGAATCAATCTGTACCTAATATCTCTGAGAGAGGTGATTAAATAAGTAGTCTATTAAAAAACTCATTATGTTTTACTACTTTCGTAAAGGAACTTAAGATTATATTAGCATTAAATGCAATTTAATTATATAACGCACCTAACTACAAACGCAGGCCAGCATTTTTGCATCCAAATAAAATCCTGACTTCCCTTTCTCGAATTACGGAAAACTCTTTAGTGCTTTCCTACAATTCCTATAAAACAAATCAACTTTCAACTTCCTACACGTTTCAGCTGTTCATTTTTTAATCTGTCCGTAATTTTTTAACGTTGCCCCACACTAGGATTTTCTCCTGTGTCGTGGGTGCGTTTACAAACATACAATATCACATACACATGACACCCAGACCCGGAACAACAATCTGTGGATCACACAAAGAGTTGTTCCGTGCGGGAATCGAACCCGCGACACGTTGCACGGCAGCCAGTTGCCCAGCCACCGCGCCAACCGTGCAGTCTTGTTGCAGTCAAATTAGTGTGCGCAGCGGTTGTGCCTTCTTCATCGGCACAAAGTAGCATAGAAGCCATTGCTATGTGTAATAATTGGTTAAACAATATTTTTTGTGAATAGAATATACGTTTATTCCTTTGGTCAAATAAATATAACATTATCATTAACAAAATTGAATTTTTAAATGTGTATTTGGTACCTATGTATTTTTGCACGTTTTGTCCGGGGAGGGATCTTTTGTAGCCCATTGCCGGTCGTTTTTCGTGTATGGTTTTCGAAGTACTGGCATCAAACATGTACTTTACCAAGCTTTCACTTCCATAATATACCTAGTAGCATTTTAACTAACTGTCGAACCGAGAGAACCACTACCTACCTACCTACCTACCTACCTAGGTACCTGCATTTGACAGCAGCCTTGATGACGTCAGAGTATCCACGTGACGAGTTTTCACGTGAAATTCATGGACGTCGAAACTTGGTAGCTATTTATTACATCAGTACTTTTTATGGGATAAGCCCGTAAACGAGCAGACGGATCACCTGATGATAAGCAATGGGCGTCGCCCATAGACACATGGAACACCAGAGGCGTTACAAGTGCTTTACCGGCCTTTTGGGATTTGAAATTGGAGGATTGTTGTGGATTCAGGGACTGGGGAAGAGGGGTAATTAGGCTTCCGGTAACCTCACACGAAACACAACGCAAGCGTTGCTTCACATCGGATTTTTTGTCAGGCTGTGGTATCACTCCGGTCGAGCTGGCCCATTCAAGCCGAAGCATGGCTCTCCCACACTCACTAATACTACTAGTACTGGTTTCTACTAGCGCTTTTCCCGCGTTCTCCTGGGATATAAAGTCGCCTATGTGTTAGTCCAGACCCCTTTATCACCTGATCCCATCAGCCGTTTTGACATGATTGAGTAACAACTTTCTCATTTATAATATTAGCAAGATAATAATGTCATTTTCCGTCTAAAATTCTACCTAACGACAAGTTTTCATATTTTACCCAACTATTTTGTGAAATATATCCACTATGGATATATTTTTGGCAAATAGGCTACAATAGAACACGTTTACACGTGACGTGACGTGTAAACGTGTTGACGTGTAAAACGTCAACATTAAAACAAAAAAGTAGATGTTCTACGTCCACCAACAAGTGTCAAAATATTTAGGGACGAATATTCCAACATCAAATCAATAACAGAGGTCTATATTTTACTATTTGACAATTGTCCCATAATAAATTTAAAAACTGTCAAATGACAATTTTATTCTACGGAAATTATTAGTTGATCGAAAAATAGGTCCTTAGACATTTTAGACAGGAAGACTAGCCTTAAATTAACTAAGGCTAGGAAATATGAGATAGAGGTGCACAAGCAAGTTTGTGCACTGTGCACAAACTTAGATGCATTCTCTATGCTCCTTAACCCATATTTTTTTTAAGGGGGAAAAGTCATCGAATGACTGCTCCCGCCTGGGTGAGGCAGAAGGGAGTGTCAGACTCTTACTGACTAAAAAACACCCCGTTCCTTCTCCTGCATGTCGAGCCGGAGCCCCGGTTACCCATTAGGTTCTCCGCGACTCCTTAACCCAATTGGACCTAAATACAAACTACACATTTATAAAAAAAACCTTTAATAACTCAATGACAGGGTGACAAATTAATATCAGCAAAAATAAATATTTTATTTCTTTTTTTATAAGTAGGTACAAAATATCGTCCTTGAGCAGGGACTATAGGCTCCATGGCCCATGCCATGTGTGCTACTATTCGTAGCACTAACTATTTTCGATATAATTATACGGTAGGTATAACGTGTTATTTGCATTGATATCACAGTTTTTATGGCAACCTGCGCACGGCAATAATAGAGATTACCTAAGTCTCAGGGGCGGATGGTGGCTTTGTAGGGCCCTAGGGTAGTACGTATCCATACACTACCAGGATTTTTTTTTCTAATTCGTAATAGAAAACTTTCGTCGCATCTGATAAAAGTATTCTTTAATACAAATATTTACCGGTGCCCGATGTTGATACGCATACTGCCAACTGTTTAAACCTTCTGCTGACAACTGATCTAGACCGAAATCTCTGCGGAAAGTGTCCATATTTTTAAGGGTGCCTATATTTTTAAGGGGGAAATCATGCAACGGCTTCTCAATTTTTTATTCCATCCATTTCGCCATTTGTATGTTGTATGGCGAAGTAATCGGTGAAAAATAAAAAAAAAACTTCCGAACATCCTCCTCCTTTTTTTGAAGTCGGTAAAAACCGTGGCGTAACGCCATATAACATCTATTTATAGCAAAATGTCCGTTTAACGTTTTCTTATACTTATTTATGAACCGTTCAACACAGTTACAGGAGTAGTCGCGTGCCACAAACATCTTGAGGTGCTCACGTATACACCTGTCTTAACCGACGCCTCAGAATACCATTTATTTATATTTTATATATTCTTGTTGTGTGTCGTAG